TACATCATCTACACTATCCTACACTATCCTACACTATCCTATTCACACTATTCATATATACGTACCAGATATTCAATATATGGACATGCACTTTTCCTACACAGAATACACCGGACAAAAAATCAGAAACGAGATGAGATAGCATCAAACAACATACGATGCACAGAAGCACCTCTGAGTCAGCGATAAAGTGCGCATTCTGGCCGATGAGAAAAATATCTGCACATGCGCAGAGAAGGTCTCGGAACAACATTGGCGTCGAGTACACTCATGAAGAGGGCGATGGAAGTGGCAATGATGGTACGACATGACTAGGTATCGAGGGTAGACCTTCTGAGCGGTGTAACCTATGTGAGCTACATTTAGCACAGACGTGAGAACCAGTGCCGGAACAGGTGCCGCGGGCTCGCGGCACCTCGCCCCTCCCTTCGTTTCCCATATATATGCTACTATGCTCTATCTCCCACCTCTCCCTCTCCCGCTCTCCCACTCTCCCTCTTCCACCTTACCTTCCATCGACATCCTTCCATCGCTATGTTCATCTCACCTCTCCTACATGACCCTCGCTCCTCATTGCTGCGTATAAAAGAAACTTCATCTCTAGGATCACGCATTTCGCACCATTGTCTTCGTACCGGCTTTCCTCCCTTTGTCCTATTATATGCCCTCCGTATAGCTGCATTACCTCTTTCTGGTCCCCTGCGGTACGGCATTGCTCCCTCTGTACCACATTTAAGTCTTCTCCCACGTCACTGCTTGGATCAAACTTTATCCTTGCGTCATCGCACTTCCCATTCGTCAATCCGATCCTAGACGCTTTCGTCCTCGTCTATTGGGCCTTCACACACACTTGCTCTCTCGTCCACGTCACAAAGGGTCCGGCTTCCCATTTACTTGTCAACCACTTGTGACCAAAACAACCCTTGCCTACCCAGGCCCTATCTCTTAATGTAATTGGGACCCCTTTACAATACATGTGCTTACTATCTACGTAGGGCATAATGCTACATCACCTGTATTTTCTTCTTTCTTGCACAAGGCTATCTGGCGACCGGTTGCATAGAAATCTACCAGCGATTCGTCATTCGACCTTCCTTCACTGCAACCTTCCCTGAAACCTTCGCTGCAACCATTTCTTGGTGCCTCTGGCGCTCCCCACTACTCTGGCTCCTGTTCCCATGTCATCGTGGGCTGTAAGTAGACGATAAAAAGATTTACCAGTGCGTCACATGACACAATGTCTTACTCGAGTGGATTTGTACTGTAACGTAAAATCTTCTTCTCCTAGGTTTTCTTTATTTTGGGTTTACGGTATACACATAATCATGGATAATAAATCAGGAGGTGATTCGATAGAGATTCATCTGGCAAAGGAGATGATGAATATCCCACGGACTTCCACAACGCCCACGCCGGTGGTGGGCGTTTCTGGCGGGACCAAACCGCAGACGATATTCATCCATAAGCTATACGATATGTTGGAAGACGGAAATATTTCACACCTTATATGGTGGACAGAGAATAGTGAGTCGTTTTGCTTGTTGCCCGGCGAGGAGTTTTCGAAGGTTTTGGCGCAATATTTTAAGCACACCAACATAGCGTCGTTCATAAGACAGTTGAACATGTACGGGTTTCATAAGGTGAACGATGCGGGACAGAGCGAGAATGGAGGCGATAATAACGTTGCTAAATGGGAATTTCGCCATCTGGCGAACCATTTTCGTAAGGGAGACGTTGAGAGTTTGAAATTGATTAAACGCAGATCATCGAAAAACGTTACTCACACTAGAGAATCGGCCAAGACGGCCGGGGGTAACGAGGAGGATATACACGAAACTACGGGCATAGAAGATTCCAAGGGCCCTCAGAACGGTGAACAACCCGACGTAAATACTCACGAGCAGCAACATTATCATCAGACGTTACAGTTACAGCAACAGGACCAAATGCCCCAGCCACCCGGCATGATACCACACCACCACCTTGCACAAATAGACGGGGCTCCATCGCCCAGCGTGCTACCAGTGCTCTCGAAACTGCCCCATCGGTATCCAGCTTCTGATAAGTCGTTAGAGGCCCGTCTACACGAGGTGACGAATAGTTTGGTTAGCCTAGGACAAGAGCACCACCAGTTGCAAAAGCTGGTCGACTTGGTGTTTAATGAGCAGAAGAAAAGCCAGTTTGATCTAATCCAAATGGTAGAAATAATGCAGCGCCATGCTGTGAAGAGCGAAGACGATAAAAAATTAGATTACGAGTTAGCAAACTTTAAACAGGTCTTACTAAACAAATTCAACAACTTGCATGTGCTTAATTCGCAAGCACAAGGCCACCAGCCGCAAAACATACATCCACAACATCAGTCGCATGCTCATCATTCGATGACGCCTCAATATAATTCATCCAACTTGCATTACTCATCTTACTCGCAGCCAAACGCTGATTCCAATGTTGATTCTTCCAATGTTGACGTACATAATTCATCGAAAAATGGACCCAAACAACCTATTCCAGACGGTTCTATGACCAAGGATGGCCAACCTCCATACACATATCCAGAGAAGTTCATGGATAAGAATAATATCCCAACTTCTTTGCATTCACCTCACACATCTGAAGTAAGAAGGGGGTTTCAACAGTACCCATTTCCCAACATGAATACTGACCTAAGGGTGAGTACTCCTACTACACCAGACTTGTTCGGTCCTTCTGTTTCCCAAAGGGCTTCGTTGCAATCTTCAAACACATATGAGCAACGCCCACAGTCGATTCCCACTCCAAACTCATCGTTATCATTATCGCGACTGGCGTTATCGAACTCATCTGTGTCATCTGGGTCATCATACTCAATTAATACATCTGGGGAAGCTCCTCCAAAATTGATTCCATTGCCCTCGGTATCCGAGTTGGATAAGCTGATAAAAAATGGCGGCGGTGGATTACCTCTTTATAGAATGCTAAACTCATATGGGCCTTTGAAGAGGAAGAGTTCTGCAGATGAAGAAAACCGAAAAAGACAAGCCTAGCTTGTGATTTCTTCTCTTCATCGAGTAGCTGATAATAAATACGATAAATATGATAATGGTGCTGATTTTGATAAATATGATAGTGGTGTTAAATCCCTATTCTCATTGATTACAAATGTGTAAATATCTTTCTTTCAAATAACCGTTCGCCTATATTGTTGGGCATCTTCTACAAGCTTACTTAACCAAGATATACACTATGATTAGGCTGCTTGGTTGAGTCTTCCATTTATTTATGAAGTATCTATATTGATATCCATTTCCTGTATAGAAGTGACAGAACCTCATAATGAAAATATCAATGATTCTAGTTGGTTGTATATCCAATTAAACACAAGATATAAGATGGTTTCCGTTAACAAAGCATCTTATCCCAAGTCACAATTCAAGAAGGTATTGAATTCTAAGACAACTTACCAATTTAAAAATGATGATAGCGACTTGTTGATCTATTTACTCTATGTTGATTATGTCAACAAACTTATGAACAAGGGCCGTGATATACAAGAAAGAAGCGGTAGTACAGAGATTTCTACGAATCATTTAGAATTGGCTAATAGCGAGTTGCTGAAACGCTATAGAGGCTAGTTTGGTTTGTTGGTGTGCTAAAATAAGCACGTAGAAACCATAAAAATAATGAGATCAACGACTACTACACAAACACAATAGCGGATACCTAATACAAAAATACATACAAGTCTATTCAATTATATACAAACTTAAAATACAGTGTTGGGATTTTTTAACGTGTCAACCATTTTGATGGCATTATGGGGGTTTCTTTTGTTATAGACGAATAACCCCTGTAATTGGGCCGTGCTGATATTTTTCATGTTCAATTGTCTATACTTTTCTAAGAATTGTTCGCATAACTCGAATTCATCTTCATAGAACCTCAAGAACATTTTCTTGACTTGGTGCTCGGTAGCATTATCAATCATGACTTTGAAATCGATTCTTCCTGGTCTCAATAAAGCGGGATCTAAACGTTCGGGATGGTTTGTTGTCATAAAGGTTATACATTCCTCGGCACTGGCAACACCATCTAATGCATTTAATAAACCAGAGAATGTTACCCCCGAGGTATAACCACCATCATCCGACTGCTCTCTCTTATTGAATGCAGCATCAACGTCTTCCAATAGTAATATCGACCGTTCAGGAATATGGTTCATTAAATGATTAAGTCTATCGTCGGTCAAATTGTTCTCCGACAAATTAAGAATACATATATTATAGTCTAATTCACCCGCTATTGCCTGAATAAATGACGTCTTACCACTACCTGGTGGTCCATACAATAAATATCCTCTTCTGTAAGGAATACCTCTTTTGTGATACCAGTCACCACTGGTTAAAAAGTCTTTAACATCACTAAGGATAGACTCTCCAATTCCTTCGTCAAGAATAACTGATCCCAACATTCTTTTCTTTCTAGGCTGTCCGAAGGGTCTCCATTCTGGTCCCCATGACGTGAACAACACAGTTTTACCCTCACGAACTTTTAATGCCAATTTCTTAGCCTCCCCTAACAAATCATGGAATAAGTTCTTATCTCTGTACAATGTAGTCAATGTGACAGTTTCAAATGGACTCCCATTGGTCATGTCTAATAGCTTTCCTGATCTTTCTCTACTAACCAACATGTACGCACCCTTATATCTGATTAAATGCTTCCCAGGACCAGGAACCAACGAAAACTTCGTCGTAACAGCTCCATTATCATGCTGAATATAGTTTGTTTCCACCGATAAGTGTCTGGAAGTCCTGTGCTTGTATTGGGACATCCATTCCAAAAACCACAAGTACGACTTGTCTTTGGAAGGAATCTCCAAGTCCACCAACAACTGACGGTAAATAAATCCTGATGATACCGTTATTCCCTTACGTGCTAATGCTAACGATGTTCCTAATAACATCAAACCACCACCGGCAGCAAAATATGGATTATTCACTACGACTTCATTGAATGCCAGCTTAGCTATACCTGACATTGACCCATCCGAATTTTCTTTGATTTTCTCTAGATCAAATGTAGCTGGTTGTTGTGCCATTTCAACGCTCTAACAGGTTATATCTTATCTTCTAATACGATTTGACTTGACTAATTGTCTCTATATCTTTAGAAAGCCGATGTATGAAAATTCAATGTATCTGATTTTGTGTTACTTTGTGATTTTTCTTAGTATCTTCTTGATTAGAGACACACAATCAATTGATCATTAACATATATTAGTAATAGTTACAATTATGGTACAATCTAGTCAGGATCGAGACCAGGAGAAAGCTCTGACTCATTCTTCACCCTCTAATAGTGACACGAGGGAGGCTGAAGAAGTCAATAGCGATACAATGGCGAATAATGATTCCAATCCTGACATTACTCTTAGAAGTAATAATCCCTTTTTAAATGCTGATAGTACGGAAACACCACAACTGTATACATATACTTCAATTAACTCTGAGGAACTAAAAAAATATCCGTTTAAAACGTTAAATCGAATTTTAGATGATATTCATTGGACTATACCTTACAAGTTACAATGCCCAGACATTAGCAATTCGAGTCTTTTAAATAGAAAGGCAATTGATTATTCACACGAATTAGCCAGGATTGCAAGTCTGAACTCACGGTTGACGAGATACGAGATGTTGATACTTAGTAATGCGTTGGAATATTCACCCTCGATTGAGAGAATTATAAATGAGGATAGAAATCAGACATTAACGTTAATCCGTGGGTTGATTGTTAATGAGAATGATGTTAACCACTTCAGACTTTCTATTCTTGAAAATGACTTGGGTCAACCCATTACGCAAGTTATTGATAAACACGAATATCACGTAATACCAAAGCAACTATTATCGCAGGATGATTTGGATTTTCTTTTAAGCAAGACCGATACCCCCAAATTTCCAGAAAATTTAATAGATGATGCATACTTCAAGAGTCTTAATAGTCCAAATAACCATATACTACGGGTTTCTATCTTTTCGCCGGAATTTTCAAATGATGATCTTTTTCCATTGCATGACCAAGAGAGTATAAAGAAGAGGTATTTAAATGAAATTGAGAAACATCCAGATTCGAACTTGTCTCCAGAAACAATCCCAACATCTGTTCATTGCTTTAAGACCTTGATAAAAGTGTTGAAAGGTCCAATACTTCTTCCGCCAGGTCAATCTATAAAGACAATTAATGTTAATAATTCTTCGTTGAACTCCCAAATTGATTTGCAATTATTGTTTAATAAACTCTCGTTCAAAGTCAGTGAAAATGAATTGATTCCACCGGATGTGGTATCTAATCCATATTTACGCGAATCATATATCAGGAAGATTCAGGAGATAATTTACATTGCAAGAATATATGGAACACAACCCAATGAATTCAATTCGGTTTATACTTTCAGTGACAGTTTGTCATTGGTCTACCGTACATTCAATGAATTTGACAAACATATGTGCCAAACATTTGGAAGAGGTCACGATTCCAACCAATTGCCATTCTGTATTAACCTTAACATTTGTACTTTTTTCCAGGACGAACTTATAATTAAGTGTTTTGAAAACACAATTAAGTCCGATCCATCGAATAAATTGCACTATGTCGATTCCTTAAAAAATGTGATTAACTATAGAACAAATCTGACTTCATCCAGTGGAAAATTAAGGGCGTACTACACGAATCTTTCACAAAAAGGTGAATTGATTGGCTTTAGTGATTATGAAATTGCTCTAAAGGCGTTAGGTATTGAAACAGGTGCCGCTGATAGTAACCGAATAGATGATGACTTCATAATTGCGATGTATACAACTTCGTATAAGAACGATCCAAAGAATTACGCCTACTTTAATAATCTTTTAAGAACAATTGGAAAGGTTAGAAACAGTGAAACGATTAATGGGTTTTTGAAAAAGGAGATCATTCCTCTAAACTTAGCTATCGATGAGCTAAATATCGAAGAACTCACAGAAGATGAAGTTGTGATTACAGCATATGAATTTAAGATGGATGATACATTAACATCTAATGGGTTCAATACCAACTCAAACGAAATAACGTTTTTGAATAAAGCTTTGCTTTCAGTCGCATTTCATAGAAAGAGCTACTTATTAATGAACTATATTGAAGTTAAATTGCCAAATATTTTGGGGGTCGGTACTCATTACTCGTTTGCAGATTCTTTGGAAGTGATTGATTGTGAATTAACTGCAAATGACTTTGAAATTATTACTAAATTCCAAAATAAACTAATGAACTTGACTGACGCTGGTGATATTAGAGTTTTAAGACAATGTCTCAAAACAATTGCTAAGGAAAGAAAATCAAAAATTTTGTCTAGCTTCTTAGCTACAGGTAAAATTGACTCTTCATTACTACCTGCAGAAAATTGGCCGGCTGGTTTGGATAATATTGGTAATACATGTTATTTGAATTCATTATTACAATATTATTTTTGTCTTAAGCCATTAAGGGATATGATTTTGGCTTTTGATGAACGAAATATTGATCAATCAAAACAAAAGAATCGTAAAATTGGCGGTAGAAAGGTAGAAGATACAGAAATTCAAAGATCGAACCAATTCATCTACCATTGAGAAATTTATTCAATGATATGATATACACGGATAAAAGATGTGTTCAGCCAAGCAAGGAATTAGCTTATTTATCATTTTTACCACTATCTCAACCGGTCTCATTCAAGTCAGAAAACGTAGGAATTCAGACTGATAAACAGGATGTGATTGACATTTCTGATGATCAAGAAACAGTTGAAAATTCAAAGGATTCTCCGATCTTAGTTTCGTCTGATTCTTCCAGTATTTCTGGTGAAGCAGAAATGATTGATGACCCATCCATTATTAAAAGTGATGAGAACACAACATCAGATTCGATAGAAGAGATTTCCACGCCCGATAAATCGAACTCAATACATTCTGATAAACGAGAAGACGAACCCAAGATTTTACCTATAAGTACCGATCAGATGGAAAGTACGATTGAGGTTGGAAGACAACAGGATGTCACCGAGTGCATTGAAAATGTTACGTTTCAAATTGAAACTGCATTAGAACCAGAATCGTTAGAAGATGACAATGAACAATATGATATGATCAAGGAATTATTCAGCGGTAAAACAAAGCAAACTATAACCCCCTTAGACGCTCAAGGAAAGGAAAGAATATCGTATGAAAGATTTTTCAGTTTAATTATAAATGTTAGTGATCATCCTAAGGATATATACGACTCCTTGGATAGTTATTTCAGCGAGGATACTGTAAAATTAGAAGAAGGTCTAGTTAAGAAATCATTAACTATTAGTCAATTGCCTAATGTTCTTCAATTTCATGTGCAAAGGGTTATGTTTGATAGAGAAAAACTCATGGCTTATAAATCGATCGAGCCAATTCCGTTTGGTGAGAATATATACCTTGACCGTTATTTGGATACTGAAGATGAAGACATATTAAGAAAAAGAAGTGAAGTTTTCCAATGGAAGTCTGAAATCAAGCAGTTAAGAGCAAAGAAAGTTGAACTATTACACATTGATGACACAACAAACTTATCGATTATGGATTCTTTGATCGCCACTAAGAAATTTTTAGAGGCAAAGGTGATCACCCACGAAACATTAAGCGTTAAAGCTGAAACCATAGTAGCTCTCCAAGAGCAAATTGACAATTTAAAGCAAAAATTAGAAACTATAGATACTGATTTGCAAAGTTTAGGTGACAAAGTCTCCAACCAATTTACCTCGTATACTAAAGTTGGCTACTCAATTTTCGCTATTTTCATTCATAGAGGTGAAGCAAGTTATGGTCACTATTGGGTTTATATTAGAGACCCCAAGAAGAATATTTTTAGAAAGTACAATGACGAGACAGTAACTGAAGTGCCCGCATCTGAAGTATTCAATTTTGTAGAGGGGAATACTGCTACCCCTTACTATATTGTTTATGTTAAGGATGAATTGAAAGAGCAATATATTGAGCCTCTTAAGAGAGTAATTAATAAATGCTAGGCTAAATAGTTATGGTCTAAGATTTTGAACAATATATATAATATACGACATTTTTGTACTGTATAATCTTATCAATACTCTCGCTAACTTTCTTATATAGGATATAATTTTGAATTTAACGAATACAATTGAAAGCAACATACCTCGATTTAGTTGAAGGACAGTTATCAATAGTAGAGAAAATTATTAAGGTATCTATTCTGTCGTTGGATTGAATTTGAAGTCTAAAATGAAAATCAAATTTTCAATTAGCTTATCGCTAAGTTTGCTTGCCACTTTCCCTACGCTTGCCTTCTCGGAAAATAACAACAAGGTTGATATATACAATTCGTTTGACAAGATAAAAAGAGACGTGGTCTTTAATGATGTTTTTGATGTTAAGCAGGCATTGCTAAACCAAGAAACTGATGATGATGATGAAAAATGTCCGCCCTGCTTTAATTGTAACTTGCCAAATTTTCAATGTACTCAATTTTCTCAATGCAATCCATTCACTGGTATGTGTGAGTGCCGGGATGGATATGGTGGAATGGACTGTTCTGAGCCATTATGTGGAGCACTTTCAGATGGGAATAAGAATAGGCCGATGAGAAAAGCAAATGAAACGTGCCAATGTAAGAAAGGCTGGAAGGGTATTAATTGTAACATGTGTGTAAATGACGAGTCATGCGACGCTTTCATGCCAGAAGGTTTAAAGGGTACATGCTATAAGTCTGGGATTATCGTTAATAAGTTCCATCAGATGTGCGATGTTACTAATAAGAAGATTATCTCTATTTTAAAAGGACAAAAGCCCCAAGCTACTTTTAGTTGTAATAAGACTGCTGCTGCTTGTGACTTTCAGTTTTGGATTGATCAAAAGGAATCATTCTATTGTGACCTTGATCAGTGTGAATTCGAATATGACTTGAATTCTAACAGCACGCATTATAAATGTAATAAGGTAGCATGTAAATGTTTACCTGGTAGAATGTTATGCGGTGAGGCAGGATCAATTGATATTTCTGACTTCTTGACTGAGACCATTACAGGTCCTGGTGATTTTTCCTGTGATATCAACGATAAGAAATGTCGTTTCTCAGAACCAAGCATGAATGATTTAATCTCGTCAGTATTTGGTGACCCATTCATTACATTACAATGTAAATCAGGTGAATGTATTCATAAAAGTGAGATTCCCGGCTACGATTTACCTGATAAAAATAGACTCTCACTTAGTAATTTAGTGATGATCATTGGAGTTGCTTTCTTATGTGGTTTGGTTATTGTGACGTCGCTTTATAATATTTCAAAGACACCTTTATTCAAGACTAACGACAGTGATTCTTATGAGCCTATAGAAGGAGAATTCAATGCATTAAATGAAAACTTCACGCCGACTACACTTTCTTTCGAAAATATAAGTTATGAGGTGAAAACTGGCCAACAGGTTTTAAATAATGTATTCGGATTAGTCCGTCCTCGTGAATGTTTAGCTATTATGGGTGGTTCAGGTGCAGGCAAAACAACTTTACTAGATATTTTGGCCGGCAAAAATAAAAATGGGAATGTCAAAGGTCAAATTTACATAAACGGTAATTCATTAGACCCGAAAGACTACAAAAAGATGGTGGGGTTTGTGGACCAAGAAGATCAATTAATTTCTACATTGACTGTTTATGAAACTGTTTTGAATAGTGCGTTACTTAGGTTACCAAGAAATATGAGCTTAAGAGCCAAAGAAACTAGAGTTATTGAAGTCCTTAGTGAATTACGAATTTTATCAATTAAAGATCGCATCATTGGCTCGGATTTCAAAAGAGGCATTTCAGGAGGTGAAAAGAGAAGGGTTTCTATTGCATGTGAATTGGTTACATCTCCATCAATCTTATTTTTAGATGAACCTACTTCTGGATTAGATTCATATAATGCAAGGAATGTTATTGATTGTTTGGTCAAGTTATCCAGGGACTTTGAAAGGACGATAATTTTTACCATCCATCAGCCTAGAAGTAATATTGTTTCTTTGTTTGATAAGTTGCTTTTATTAAGTGAAGGTGATTTGATTTATTCGGGAGATATGATTAAGTGTAATGATTTTTTCTCTAAAAATGGATATAAATGTCCATTAGGATATAACATTGCTGATTATTTGATAGATATTACTGTGGATCATAAAAAATTACTTAAAGTTGAGAAGTCTAAAAATGCAAACAATTTGTTAAGTTCTAGTAATGATCTTGAAAACTTACCTGGTGACACGGAAATTGACCCCCATCAAGCATTTGTCAATCCAAATGCAACTGATATAGATACAACACAAGAATGGGAGCATTTTGCAGTTCATAGAGACGAATACAATTATAGTACAGTCCGCCAAAAACAAGATAAAACTGGAGAAGAAGAAACTTATATACAAATTAGAAACAAACTACCAACAATTTACAACGAATCATCTTTGGCACTTGAATTGAAACAAGATATAAATGATTTAAAGGACAATCCTACCAGGATAGAATTTAAGAATCAATACCAGAAGGCAACATTTTCAAGCCAATTATTAATTTTGGCATCTAGAACATTTAAAAACTCTTACAGAAACCCTAAATTATTATTAAGTCATTACATTATATCTTTGGCAATGGGTGCATTTTGTGGATATTTGTATTATGATGTTGAAAACGATATAAGTGGCTTCCAAAATAGATTGGGATTGTTTTTCTTTGTATTGGCATTATTTGGATTTTCGGCACTAACTGAATTGCATTCATTTTCTACTGAGCGAATTATTTTCATTCGTGAAAGAGCTAATAACTATTATCATCCACTAAGCTATTACTTGAGTAAGATAATTTGTGATATTATACCTCTTAGAGTATTGCCACCAATAATTTTGGTCAGTATTCTTTACCCATTGGTGGGATTAACGATGGAAAATAATGGTTTCTTAAAAACCATCCTAGTATTGGTCATGTTCAATATTTCTATAGCAGCAGAAGTCTTGGTTGTTGGTATTTTACTTAAAGAACCTGGTACTTCCACCATGGTCGGAGTTTTAGTATTATTATTTTCCTTATTATTTGCTGGTCTTTTTATTAATAGCGAAAATGTTGCTGTTCAAATTAAATGGTTAGAATGGATTTCAATATTCCATTACGCATATGAGGCATTAGCAATCAACGAAGTCAAGGATTTAATCTTAAAAGAAAAGAAGTACGGGTTATCAATCGAAGTTCCTGGTGCCGTGATCTTGAGTACTTTTGGCTTCAATGTATCAGCTTATTGGAAAGATGTATCTTGCTTAGCTGTCTCAATCGTCGCATTTTTGATTCTTGGTTACATATTTTTACATTGGTTAATGGTAGAGAAAAGATAATCTTAGAGTAGTTTATATAAATGTACTTTAATACATTAAAACGTTACTAGAGTTGACACAAACTTTTGCAATTGGTTGTTTGTAGGTATCATTTATTAATATATTATATTAATCCTGCATTCAATCTAGTTTATGGACAATCC